TTGCGATAGTCATTTTCGCGTTGCGATTTTGTTGTTGCGATTTTCATTTCGCATTGCGATTCTCTCGTTGCGATAGTCATTTTCGCGTTGCGATAGTCATTTTCGTATTGCGATAGTAAACTATTCTTCTTCTGCAAATTGAAACTTGAATGGATTGCATTACTTCAACCAAAAGACAACAAAAAACAAATACTAACTTCATAGGGTTAAAGAATAAACAGTTAAATAGTATTGGCAGCAACCGAATGAATTTACTAAGCAATCTAAGTGAAATTACGAGTAAATTTATCATCAAGTTAAATATAAAAAATATTAAACTTACCTCGTTGCGTAGAGTATGAACCTCGTTCTGCAACGATGCTACAATCTCACGTAGAGCTGCTACCTCACCACGTAAAGTAGACACCTCAACACGCCATGCACCATTGTCATCGCGTAAAGTACCGACCTCCTCACGCAAGGCATTGACCTCATTACGTAACTCCCCTAACTCATCCCGTGGAGGTGGAGATGGAGGTGGAGAACAGGGAGATAAACGTCGTGGCATCTTTGCCGGTCTCCTATCATGAGGTGATGGTGGAAAAGAGGCTCGATGATGTGACAGAATAGGTGATGACTCTCGTTGTGGAGGTGTATATTCGGGTCGATCAGGTGATGGCTCTAGGTGAGGTGATGGCTCTCGAAGTAGTGGCTGCTCATCATCCGTGCCATCAAAAAAAAGCTTACTAGCTTTCCACCAATCAGTGGCAAGCTCAGCTTCCGTGGGTGTCAGCCTCTATAATGGAGTGTTGGCCTCCTAACAATATAAAAGCTCAAAAAAAGTTAAACGTATACTAGTAATAACTTGTTTATAAACATATGGTAGTATTTGTGTTAACTTACATTATTTATTGTAGTATACGGTAGTAAATCTTCCCATTGCTGCAAGGACCGTTTCCTCTTCCAGGAAATAGCCCTAGGAATATCATTAGAAGTTTTTAATGCATATGTGTGCATGGCGGGAAAGACCTCAAATATCCAAATCTACAAACAATATAATAACAAACATTAGTAATTGTTAAAGAATTAATTATAATTTTGGAAACATTATATAAAAATTATTACCTTAAAGGCCCAAATAAAGCCTGACAAAGTGTATTTGGAACCATCGCCACGCAAACTTTTCCAATCATCAAAGGCAGACGACAACTTATTCCATGTAGCTCTCCATAGATACGAACCCCACGTGTTCCATGCATTTAGGTCCTCTACCAATTTAATTAGATCATTAGGAATAGGTTGTCGGGCCTCTCTGCCTAAAAAGCCAGCTTGCAAAAGTATTAGAAGGCATACTCGGACAACATCGACGTCATCCATCCAAGTAAAATCATCTTTCTTATTCAATAATCTCGTCAAATCTTCCACGTGTAAATTCGCCAGCTCAGGAAAACCCCGGGAAAACCATGATAGACGGGTAATATGTCTAGTGTACCGATCTACATCATCGTGTCCGAAGCGTAGACCGGTGATTAAGCAAAACTCCTCCCGCCCAAAACACGTATATGCCGGTGGAAAATCAAACCATATCTCTTCATCACGATGTTGTATAGTCTCTGGTAGATCGCTAGTCATGGTTTGAAGAAACAGATGGGTCAACATAACATCTCCACTCGGATGTTGTACTTTTAGCCATGGCCCGAAGCAAGTATCCTCAAATATTTTTCTTTGTGCAGATGAAAGCTTCGACGCAATTGTTTTGGCCAGGCTTAATTTATTTCTTAAGGTCAATTGAGCCGAATAAAGTTTCTGGAAAAACAATAAACATATCAAGTTAGATATACCAAAACTACACTGTGAAGATATAACAAGAACAATAAACATAAAGAGTAGTAGTTTATTATTCAAACTTAAATTTGTAACACTGTGAATTTAGTATTTGTCTTTGTTTTTTGGTTGAAGTAATGCAATTCATTCAAGTTTCAATTTGCAGAAGAAGAATAGTTTCTGAAACTTAAAATCGCAACACGAAAATGAAAATCGCAACACGAAAATGACTATCGCAACGCGAATTTGACTATCGCAACGCGAAATGAAAATCGCAACGACAGAATCGCATTGCGATAGTCATTCTCGGTTTCAAATACTAAAATTGAAAGAAACTTGAATGGATTGCATTACTTCAACCAAAAGACAAAACAAAGACAAATACTAACTTCACATGATTAAAGACTAAACAGTTTAACAGTATTGGCAGCAATCGAATGAATATAATAAGCAATCTAAGTAAAATGATTAATCTATTATTGAAAATACCAGTAAACTTATCATCAATTTCAATATGAAAAACCTAATAATAATGCAAAAATTTCAAAATAAAAATAATTAAAAAAACTAACCCTCGGTGGTTGATTTGGTTGATTTTCCATTTCTGACCGTGAATGATTTCGCCGGAGATGGAGATTGATATCGTCGGAGATGGGGACTGATTTCGTCGGAGATGGGGACGGATGTCGCCTTAGAGAGTGAGAGATGGAGATGAGACTGAGTTGTGATTTAGGGTTTTAGGTTATGAGTTGCGATTACGGGATATACTATGGACGGTTCAGTGTTCTGATATATTAATATATTCGTGTTTGGAATTTGAAAAAAAAATACGCGTTGGATACGAATGGCGTTATGTAAATCGCATTGCGATAGTCAGATTCGCGTAACGATTTATATGTTCGCATTGCGATTTACGTATTCGCATTGCGATTTACGTATCGATTTTCTAAATTCGCGTTGCGATTTACGTATTCGCATTGCGAATTAGGAAAATCGCAACACGAATTTGGAAAATCGCAATGCGATAGTCAGAATCGCGTTGCGAATCTGGAAACTGATTTGCGATACCGGAGATCGCATTGCGAATTATCGATCGCATTGCGATTTAGTTGGTCATTTTGACAAATCTAAAAAAAATTGATTAAATCGTATATTATAAGGTATTTTTGGTGATTGAGGTTATTTTCTCTTAAAAAATTAACTAAAAGAAGAAAAAGATTACACGTGTGTGCAAATTCTGGTGTTTGTTTTCCCGGAAAAAAATGAAAAAAGATAGGATTTTTACAAACTTGACTTTGTACCCTAAAAAGGTTTCGGTTATTATGCTTTCAAAGACCGATTTGTTTATATAAAACTATAAAAGGGCTGATAAACCTGGAAAGCGACTTCCAGTAAACCTCATTTTCGTTTTTTCTTCTTCATCTTCTTCTTCAAATAATCGAACACCTTGCCTGCAGCAGCATCACCATAACTTTAATCCACTGTTTCTTTTTTTTTCTCTTCTTCAAAGATATCATAAATGAAGTACGTTTTGATTACTGGAGGAGTCGTTAGTGGACTTGGGAAAGGCGTCACAGCCAGCAGCATAGGCGTAGTCCTTCAAGCTTGTGGCCTTCGTGTCACCTCCATTAAAATTGGTTTCTTTCTTCTTCTTCTTCTTTAATCTTTTCCTGTTTTATTTTGGGTTTGAGTTCAGGCCTCTGGGTTTCGTTCTTTTCGACCAACAATGATGCATTTTGGGTGCATTTGTTTGGGGGAAGATTTGTACAATCTGTTCTCCCTTTTCAGTGTTTATTGTTGTTATTGGTTGCTCTTTGGTTCCTTTGCTTCTTAACTTTTCTGGGTTTATTTTAGATTTTCATTTTCATAATTGCAGATCCTTATCTGAACACGGATGCTGGAACCATGTCGCCTTTTGAACATGGGGAAGTTTTTGTTCTTGATGATGGTGGAGAGGTTTTATTATATCCCCTTTCTTTTGTCTCTAGCGTTTAGTATTTTGTTCTTACAGCATTTTCCAAAAAAAGAACGAAAAAATGGATGCTTTTGCAGTATAGTATTGAATTAATTTGGTTTTTTGTTTATGTTTGGTCTTCTGAAGGTTGATTTGGATTTGGGTAATTATGAGCGTTTCCTAGATGTTACTCTTACTAAAGACAACAACATTACTACTGGCAAGATCTATCAGGTATTCTAGTTTTTACAGGGTTGATGCTAATGTGTTTGTTCAGTGTTCACTTGAGTTAAATTAGTGGATGAAAATTACTAATCGTATTTTTGTACCAGTCCGTCCTCGATAAGGAACGGAAAGGTGATTATCTTGGAAAGACTGTTCAGGTGACTTTTCTTATTACCAAAAACGTTGCTACTTTTGTATGCTTAAAGACAGTAAGGACTATGGATAAGGATAAAGTCATGTTCTTTTCACTTTTCTGATGATCCCAGGTTGTTCCACACATCACAGATGCTATTAAGGATTGGATCGAGGTGGTTGCTCTCATTCTTGTAGATGGGAAAGAGGGTCCTGCAGATGTCTGTGTGATAGAGTTGGGAGGCACTGTTGGTATGAACCATTGTTTAAAGACATTAGACGTGTCAAGAATTCACTCTATTCCTTTCTTTTTCTTGCTTTTTTTGGAGGGTTGAGAAATGGTTGATCCTTTTTATTGGGGGTGGGGGTGTTTCTTTAGGTGACATCGAATCAATGCCATTCATTGAGGCTTTGCGGCAGTTGTCCTTTTCAGTTGGTAAGCTAGTGTTTTCTGTTTATCCAGAAAGGTTTATAATACCCTGTAGTTTTGTTTGTCCGTCGATTTGTCTGTGAAACGTTTTCTTCCAACTTGGTCATTTGCGTTTTCATGTGGTGCCCAGTGCTTATTTTGGTCAACACAGATGTGATGACCTTTCGGATCAACATGTAGTCAGTCACAGGCCAGAAAGTTGTGCCTATAGGAGAACCTGGATTAATAAGGAATGTATCGGCCTAGATTCTTTTTTTTTCTTTGGTAATACAACTTAAGTAAGCAGTGCTGCCAACGGTGCAACTTATGCATTATTTGAGTGTACAACACTATGCTGATCAGTTGGTTAAATACTTTGGACATGTATTCGCAGTGTGGTCAAGTACAAACAGATACAAGTTGATAAATGAGAAGTATTGACTGTTCAGGTTTCTGAACAATTGGTAGCCATTCCCATCCCGTTAAACTCTCAATCTAAAACATTTGATTATGCATCTATTGTGTGGCACAAAGAGACTTTATATCAGTCTATTTAGTATCTTTGGATATGAATCTTCATGTGTTGTAATACATTTCGTTTTCTTCCTCAGGCCCGGATAATTTCTGCCTCATTCATGTCAGCCTAATACCTGTGCTGGGTGTAGTTGGAGAGCAAGTAATACACCATAATTTTCCTTATACATAATACATGAATCTTTTAGGTCATTGTTTGGATTTTATTTTTTAACTGACGTCAGTTAAGTTCCTTATTAGACATTGCAACTAATTGTGGTGAAAATAATTCTCCCTCCCTCTCTCTATGATGCAGAAAACTAAGCCTACACAACATAGTGTTCGAGAACTTAGGGCATTAGGTTTGACTCCTCATCTGCTTGCATGTCGCTCAGCTCAGGTACTATACCTTGCATGTACTTTCATGCTGTAGGGGATTTTGTGATTAGAATCTTTTTAAAGAATTGCATCATTGCATTTTTTTTCTTTCTGCAGTATTACTGCCTTGGCTCAATATTGTAGCAGTTTTAGGCATTTTTATTAGTTTTTAAATGGGTTGGCATGAAACTAGCAATCATTGTAGCAGTTTGATGCAAGTTTGCTTAGAATATATTGTTGAACTTGTCATATATAACTTGGCATTCATATCACATGAATATTTTTTTTTAAATTGCATTTTTTCTGCTTTCGCTCTTGGTTTTACTTTTGTTCTCTGTTCTTATCTTGCTGGATATCCTTTTGATTGCTTTGTTTTCTACTTTTCTTGATTTGTCCTTGTCCCAAACTGATGGTAATTATACCCTTTTGGTTGGTGACTTACAGCCTTTATTGGATAATACAAAGGTGAAACTTTCACAATTTTGTCACGTGGAGGTAAATTTGTTTGCCAAATTCGGTTTTTATTCTTTTGATTTAGATTTGTCATCTTAACTATCAATTGTGTTTTTTTTCCTTGTTGTTCTCCACAGGCTGCCAACATTCTAAATATTCATGATGTTCCCAAAATTTGGCATATTCCTCTCTTGCTTAGAGTATGTTCCGTCACAGCTTCCATTTCTATGGAACTTAAGGATTCCTAGTCTCTCATTCACATTTTTTAATGATGTTTCATATTGGCTATCGCTTCAGAACCAAAAAGCCCATCATTCAATTCTGAAACAGCTGAATTTGCTCAGGTTAGTTTTTGTTGAAAATTTCCATCATCTCCAGCCTTTCAATTTAATTTAATTTAATTTTTATCGTTGTACAACTAAGTTCATTGGTTATGACTTAAACTCTCTGCTGCGCAATGAGGGTGGCCTAGGCAATCAATATTTTGTATGGAACATCACTAGTTGATTTTTTTTTTCAATTTCTATCTCAGTGATTTTAGCTCTAGGAAAAAGGTTATATTTGTTACTGGTTGGCATGTCAGACTAGTTGTTGGAAATTTTTACCAGTTATACTAAGTAGTTTTAAAGTGTTTCAGCATTGCTGCGCCTCCAGATTTAAAAGCTTGGAACAGGAGGGCAGAAACTTTTGATAATCTCACTGATTCAGTTAGTACTCTTAATTTAGCTCTAATTGTGTCCAGTTTGAAATAGAAAAATTCTGTCGTTTGTGATAGAAAAATGTATCATTGTGTGCAGGTGAGGATTGCAATGGTGGGGAAGTATGTTGGTCTGACAGACTCATATCTATCTGTCGTCAAGGTGTAATACTAGCTTAATTTTATGCCCTTTTAGACATCCTTTTACCATTACTACATCTTTTTAGAAAAATCCTGTTCTTCAATGGACACATTATGTTAAACGAAAAGGCCTTCTGGTATACTATTATTGCTATTAAATTATCCATCTTTTCATGCTTTTAGACTATGGGGCGTGGTAACCGGTAAGGTTTTCATAAACAATTATCCAAAATTTTCATTTGCTGGAGAGGCTAGCATCTGGATCACTTCATAACTTTGTTTTACACCATATCTACATCTTCATATTTTATAAGCTAAGATCATTTTGTTAAAAGCCAAATTTTGCCTTGTGTATCGTCATATGCCTTCTAATTAGTTGCGTGTTTTCTGGATACAGAAGTTTTGTGGCTTCCTGGTTTATGTCCGGTGGTAATCACCGTTATTTTATACTACCCCTCACTATAAAGGTTTTCCTTTGCACATAGGCACTTTTACATGCTTCTATTGCATGCTCTTTGAAGCCATCTATTGACTGGATCTCTGCTTCAGATCTTGAAGATGATACTGCCCGATCGGTACTGATCCAGTAGCACTTTTGCTATTACATTCTTTTATTTCTTCGAAAATGATGGTCTAAACATTTTTCTATCTCATCCAGGCACCAGAAGCTCATGCTGCTGCATGGAAGAGTTTAAGAGTAAGCCTTTTTATAGTTGTACTTGCACCCATTGTTTTAAATGCTCAACTTCCTGCACTGCCAGATTCATTACTTAACAACCTATCTTGGTTTAGCACTTTTTTGGTCTAGTTTCTTGCAAGTTAGGTTAAAAATAGATTATTTACGTAGTCCTTAAGACTTAAGTTTCTGTGTTAAATTGGTTCATGCATTACCGGTTCAATATTTATCCCTTTCTATTTAGGTCACTGGGCTGTTTTGAGGCAGCACAGCGTACTCTAAAGAGAATTGGAGATGAGCTGGTGTTGCGGAAAATGATTTATTTTTTCAAACCGTTATTTGCAGAATGCTGAATGTGTCCTAGTTCCTGGTGGATTTGGGGATCGTGGTGTGTGGAATGATATTGGCAGCAAAATATGCTAGAGAGAATAATGTTCCTTATCTTGGTATTTGCTTGGGCATGCAGATATCTGTCATTGAGTATGCCAGATCTGTAAGTGACTTTTTCTTTCAAATACATGCTTTCTACTTTCCAAATCACACATTAAAGCTTTTCGAATTATTTGATCCAGGTTCTTGGTCTAGAAAAGGCAAACAGTCATGAGTTTGATGAGGATACACCTGATCCTGTCGTCATTTTTATGCCCGAAGTATATCATCTTGCTCATTGTACTTTTTCATACATCTTCCACGAGTGCATATAGCGTGAGATTAGTTTCTATTTTTTGTGCCAGGGCTCCAGGACGCATATGGGAAGCACAATGAGACTGGGATCTCGAAGAACACTATTTCAGAACCCTGATTGTGTGACTTCCAAATTGTATGTTATTCTGTTGATTTGTTTAATTTATAAAGTTCTTCAAACGCTGCGACTGAAATTGTTACTTCTGAATTATTTATCAAGATGTTGGTCGGTAAAATAAACCCTTTTTATGCACCAAAACGAAAGCCAGTTTTTTATTGTCCAGTGTTGCTCCTGCTTCTAATCGTCTGTTTTGATTGCCATGCATGATAAATTATCTTTTATACCGGCTAGGTACTGCAATCCACATTATGTAGATGAACGACACCGACATAGATATGAGGTTAGTCAAGTTGATTCAACTGGAAAGAAGAGAAAACTTGGATTTACTGGCATAAGTTCATCTTTTACAATATGATCTCTTGCCCTTTTATATGACACCGCTGCAGGTAAACCCAGATGTCATCGGTATTCTTGAAGAAGCTGGGCTAAAATTTGTCGGGAAGGATGAAACTGGGAAAAGAATGGAGGTGGGTTTACATGTGCATTTTTCCCTCTTGTTGAACTTATTTTGTTGTGTGTATCCATCTGTTGAGTTCAATGCGATTTCAAATTTTTCCTTATAGCCAAGAAACGAACAAGTTCATTTCTTCTTTTTTGTGTTTTGCAGGTTCTGGAGCTCCCAGGTCATCCATTTTATGTTGGTGTGCAGTTTCATCCCGAATTTAAATCACGTCCAGGGAAGCCTTCGGCTCTATTTTTAGGTACATATTGTTCACATGCAAATCCAGAGCTCATGTGCATGGTTTTTTTCTCCCCCAACAGGCTTTGTGCATGTTTGAGTGCATAATTTGTCATTGATTCCTCTATAAAATGAAAATTATGTGAAAATGGCCATCGACTTGTATCCATGCAAAATGTCATGGTCTCATATGGGACAGTTGAATATTCATTGCATTTGACAGAGAAACAGAATAACTGTCATTTGTCTGGATTTCGATTGAACCATGTAAATTCGTTTCGTCCTTCCAGATGGAGCTTCTCTGTGCTATACTGTTATGAATATGGATGAATATAATAAAGTCCACATACTTGGTCATAAAGTTTCCATGTTTTCTCATGAATTTGGCATGTGAAACGATAATAACATTGATGCCTGTGCGATTTTAGGTCTTATATTATCTGCAAGAGGGAAATTGGAAGCATATCTTACAAGGCATCAAAATGGAAGTTGATTTACAGTTTAATGTCAATACATCCGCATCGGTTTTACAAGGTAAACGTCCCTCTGAAAGTTTTATCTGTCGAAACTTCCCATAGGTAGGCTTAGTAACGTGCTTGGTTTAGAGGGCATGATTTGACCTTGATAGTGTCTGCTCTAGGGACTCGATTCTACGCCAGCATCCATGGCTGGTTTGGTCAGCTGCATTTTTGGCTATTGTTTGCTCATGTTTCTTGACTTCTACTTAGTTACATTATTTCGTCTAGTGATCCAATCGGTACTAGTGACGGCATTTTCCTATACATACAGAAGTTGACATGGTCTAGCATCAGATAGCACAAATAAATTACAACTTAGACGTATTTTGCTTCGTTTTAACTGATACCAAGATCATTGAATGTAGGACAAAATGATAGATTCGACGTCTTATGGTATAGATATACGCAAAGAGGTCCTTGCGAGTCCTTACTGCAATAGAACTAAGGTCTGAGTTCTCTTACTTGATGTGATGTTCTTATATACCCCAGCCCCGTGATGTAGGGATATAACCTGTGATATGAGGCCAAGTTTTCAAGAGCTTGTTCTTGAAATTTGTAGCTTTACGTTTGAAAGTTGCCAACATTCTTGATTGATTTCGTTTCTAATGTTCAAGGTTTTTTTTTGTTGGATGGAACTCGTGGGATTACGAGTGAGGAAACACATATTGGGCCATAATTTCTGACGAAAGCGAGTCTTCGAAACTATGTTCAAGGTTTTTCTTTTCATATATGTTTGGAAATTATAACCAATCTAATATTAGATTGTGTCTAATGTAAGTGTCGGATATGAATATATCTATTTTTTTACTCAATTTGTTTGTGTCGTATTTTTTTTTCAAAATAATCTTTATTTTTTTTTGTAATTAGGATTATATTTTAGGAATTCTACCATCTTTTTGGAAAATTCTGATTGTAAAAATGACAATTCCGTTTACAGTAAAAGTTTGTTGATGAGGAAGCATCAATCAAAATTTAAATATTTTTAGTATCTTTATTTTTAAAAAAAATCTAAATTGTAACACTCTCAGATTGATGCGGGTGACTAGATCTGATTCGAGGTGTCACATTAGGGTTATCAGAGTAACCCGCAATAAAAATTTAAAAAAAGTTAAATTTTTATTAAAACATGTACAATCATAAAACAATTTATAAATAAATACAAGTTCCAGATTCGATATAAATAAATAAGTCAAATGTGACCTACATGTCCTAATTTTTCTCTTGTATTGTACTCTTCAACCCAAGCCAATGGAATTTCCCATACTGAAGTTGATAACTATGCTGAAACGATTTTTTTAACTTGAAATGAAGAGTAAAAGAGTGAGCTTTGGAAAGCTCAGTAATACAAAATTATCAAGTGATGCTGAAGGATATGCATATAAATGGAAAGCAATAAAATTTCCTTGTTGATTCAGACGTCTACATGTTTTCAGAATGAGCTGAGGTTTCACTGATATTTCTTCGAGTAAAGACATGAAGATTTCAGTTCAGAGGAAACATTCAGAGAACCAAGTTTAAGAGATCGAAATAGTATGTCTAGTGTGTTCTAACAAAATAGAGTAACGTATATAAATCCTTTATAAACATTTGTAGTTTAAAATATATATTAAAAACACAATAATACCCGCCAACCGAACACTGTCTGTAGTTCCTCAGAACTGCATCCATAAGGACTTACCTTAAGCAAACAACAAAGGAGCCACCCTAAGGGAGTACCTTAAGGCCTATGGGCCTACCCAATGATCTCCTTAGGTCCGTAAGGATTTACCAGCTTTATCAGAGCTGAACCTCTATACTCCAGAATCTTACCCATACATTATCCAGTAGAAATCAGATTTATCAGTAAACTGTAATATTAAGATCATGATCCTGTAAAATCTCGTAAGAGTGACAGTGAAATGATGGAGCGATGATTTGTGGTATTCAAGATTATATATTGAATTATCAGGATTTCGAGTTCAATTAAACTACAGTTCTTAATACTGAAATATTTGGCAATCATTAGGGCCGTGATAATTCACTATTATTCACTTCTTATTATTGACAACACCAGTTGGTCTGATCAATATCATAATCATTATTGATCAGTTCTTGAGGAGACGAATAGGTATTCCGTTGGTATTTATTTCATTTCCACGTTGTAGTAGTATCCAAAATGTCCGACGGCTGGGGTCATGCTCCATAACCTTTAGAGGCAGTACATCATTTAGGTTCGTCAATGTTCCTATAGTCTATCCAAAGGCATTCACTTAATCCAAGTCATAAAGGTATTTAGGTCATCTCGACATTTGAGGTTATTTTAGTCATTTGGGGTCTATACACATTAGGTATTTCAAAACTTGAGGATAATCCATCATTTAAATACTTCAGTGACGTGTCGCACTTCTAATAATCTACTCTTCAAATGATCATTCAAAAACAAGGAGATCGACGTATTAATAATTTCCAAATGTAGAAGTTTATTTTTGGGGTTTTTAAATAGATCAATAATTTAATCGATGATTCCAAGGTTCAAGTGAATCAACATATGAGTTCTCAGGTTGTCTCCATTATCATAATCATCCATAGTTCTTTTTACACTATTACTGTCATTCCATTCAATTTTATCAGTGACATTACTTCCGATAAATTAGGCTTCAAAGTATTCTAGTTCCTTTAGAGTTTAGGGTATTTTGGTCATTTGAACATTAGAAGTTATTTTAGTTATTTCATAGCTCGAGGATATTTCGGTAATTCAAATCAATCCAAACATATGTACCTTTACTGGTAATTTGGTCAGATATATTTTTCAGCATTATTTTTCGCTCTTAAGGGTAATCATGGTCTTTTTTTAGTGCAAGGGTATTTTGGTAAAATTATAATTCAAGGTTATTCTAGTCCTTTCCTTCCATCCAATCTTTCTATTTAATTCCATTTTTCTGAATAATTCAAACAATAATAATACTTCCAATATTTTAGTCTTTCAGTGCTTGCTAATAATTAACAATTATAGGTCTTGTACCTTCTCGAATGTTAAGATCCAATTATCAGTGATTATCGAAGCAGATCATGAATTTAACAGATGAAATATTGATTTATCGAATTAAAAATACAAATTCTCAAGGTACTTTCGCTCTCAGGTCAGTCCAGGTCACTTTTACCCCATAGGGACAATTTCTTAATTTTATAATCAGGTGATTCCGATATTAAACCTTTTAACGAAAATAATTAGAATTTAATAATTCTGACATTATTTGCTCTTCAGACTAATCATTGTACTTGAAATCATTTCTTATCAGTGTTCCAATTCCTTTATGTAATTCAATAGAGTCTTAACCAATTTATCACTTAAGTTGTATTCGGTTCGATTCCATCTATAACCAAACATGCATAATAAACCAATCGTATACATCCATGTGTTTATCCATTATCAACATGTACCATAAAATATGTAAAGAGGTAGTAAAATATTACCTCGATTTTCGTTCTCCACCGATCAAACATTTAAACTCCATTCGATCACTCTCAAACTTGAATTCAACTTCCAATAATTTATTGGATACATAACAAACAAATTTACATTAGAAACATAACTTAATCGAAAAACCAAATTGAATTCGTAGATAAAACACTGAAAAACGACTTACCGAGTGCGAATTTGGCAAAACAAACTTCGGATTCGGACTCAGGACGTTGAAAAACATAAAATATGACTTATTGGTCAAAGTCAACGGTCAAACGCGGACGAGTTGAATTAGACGAGTTGACTCGATCGGGTCAAACATAATCGATTTAGATTGGTTCAGGGCGGTTCGGTCCACCTGGACCGTTTCTAGAAGAAACAATGGCTGGGGAGGAGCCCCACTCGCACGCGGCGGTGCGTGGCAGCGACAACAGACCCGGGGTGATCGGTGGATTACTCATACAACTTCAATTAACCAATTACAAGCAATATTTAGCCAAACATCAGTCCAAAACCATGCCAAAACCTAAATAAAATTAACCAACTATAGACCCGAGCTTACCCCAATGAAGGTCAACGACGACGCAACAAGCGACCACGATTTTGGTTAGGTTTTAATCGGGATTGACCGGGGAACACAACACTGGCTAGCGTGAGGTTCACCGGCAGGTGGAACGACCGAAATCGGGGAGAGAAGCGACGACGATGAAATGGATTTCCTTTTTTTCAATTAACGACGCTCGACGCTCGATTGGGGTCATTGACGGTTGGGGACTGATCGCTGGAGGACGATAGTTCGACTGGTGGTGATGAAACATGACAAGGGAGGTCGGACCGAAGCGAATCACGGTAGAGAGGAGGCGACTAGGGTTGGGGTATGAAATTGGGGGTTTTCTAATTTGGGGATTTTGGGTTATTTGGGTTTTAACTAACCAAATAAAAATGGGTTAATTTAGGGTTGGGTCCCTCAATTATCGTCAAATTTGCACAATAGCCATCATATTTCAAAATTAAGCATTTTAGTCCCCGAATTTCCTACAACTTTCTAAAATTGCCTATAATTTCAAAAACTTATAATTTGACCCTAAATTGGGGTGTGACATGAATTGTAAAATTGAAGATTTCAATTAAAGTTTTTTTGATAAGGTACATTTCATTGATTAAATTGTTATTTTAAATATTTTTTAAAAAATGAAGGCAGTTCTAAAAGAAAAATGAAGGCAGTTCTAAAAGAAAAATGAAGGCAGTTCTAAAAGAAATTATACAAAAAATAAAGAATTTTACTTCAAATTATTGATAATTTTTCTATAAATAAGTTTTTTTTATGTATTTTTAACCGTGGTATTTGTAAATTTTGTTTTGTTAATAATTGGTTTAATTACCTTTAAAATATATTATTTGTACCGAATTATCTCTTAAAATGTTTTGAACCTTATCTTGTTTTTCTCAACTTGCCTCTGAAAGTGTTCTTGGAAATGTTTTGTACCTTATCTTGTTTATCTCAAATTGTTAAAAATACAAGAGTTAATTATATATTTAATTACTATATTATTCTCGCGGTTCTATTTTTATTATCTGTTTTTTTAAATATCATTAAACTTATCTTTTAGTATATAAGAACAGTAACTTATCTTTTATCATTAGTAGATAAGAACAATAATTTATCTTTTATATTTGTATATTATTATTGATCAAATTAAAAAAAATTACATAACTTTATTATGTGATTTTAGTAGTTGAAAAAGAGTTTGATGTTTTGAGTTTGAGTATCTATATCTGCAAGGTGTGTATGTGTTATTAATGGTTAAATTTTAGTTTCATATGTTATTTTTTTAATAAATACAAAAATATACTTAACTTTTGAATTTAGTGATAATAATATAATTGATCAAAAATCAACTATTTTGAATTTAGTAAATAAAAATATATAAATATAAAAGGTAATAATTATTCCAGTAGTTTACCCTTTTTAATATTTTTTTAATATCTTATTGTTTTTATAACTTTTTAATAGATTTAAAGATTTTGTATAAAATAAACGATGACATATAGTACAACTTTATATCATTATATAATTAAAGATTAACACCGCAATAAGATAGGAAAATAATAAATGAAATTAAAATTCGATTATTAACCTAAGAATAGAAAATTTAGAAGAACATAACTTGTTTAAGTACCAAATTCTTTGAGCATTTTCCGATTACGGGATATTTTTTATATTAAGTTCTCCCATTATTAAAATTTATAAAATGATTTTTTTGACTAAAATGTTATTTTTTTTGAATACTTTAATTATTTAAAGTTATAAAATAATCTTTTAACTATTCATTATATTATAAACTCGTCATTTTCTGTTAAAAATTGACGCAACTCTAAGCCAAACATTAAACTACTGACTGTGATGTATAAAATATGATCTCAAAATCTCAATCAATTATCATATCTCAATCATCATGTTAACGTTAACTTAGATAACCGTAAAATTTTTAATGAAAAAAGATAAATTTAAAACATAATAAATAATCATATGATTATTTTTTATCCTTTAACAATTGAGAAACTGAATAAAATAATATTTTATAATGGAGCAAATATTTAATAAAACAGTACGATGACGCGATTTAAACAGAAAAAAGGGGTTATATAAAATCCTTGTTACAATCATATCTAACAACCTGAAGGAGATAGTTTAAGATGAAGATCAACGCTAACGTCCGCTTCCGGAGGTGCTGATGCAGCGAAATGCAATGACCGCGCCATGTAAATCCGAGAGGGGCACTGATCACAAGGTGTCGAACGAACCAGCAGTGGCCGTTGCGACACGAATTTACCGGCGGCGTTGGTTGTCAACCCTTGCGGCACCGACCGTACAGCATGGACGACGCTTAAAACGGGCGGCGCAACCGCCAAGAATCGTTGTTGTTGTTGTTGTTGTTTTTGATGATGATGGGTGTGAAGCAGGGTTCGCCTTGCTCTTAGACGCTCTCTTTTGTGAGCATTTTGATGCCCACCAAGTGCTTGTGAATTTGCGAATACCCGGCAGCAAAACGGGCACTCGAATCTCCTGCTTTCTCCCAAGTATTCAGCTTTCTCAGTCAGTGAAAAGCCGAATAGCTTTACCGACGAAGTGGGTTTGGGGTCCGATTGCTTGTCGGATGAAGATGATAAGTTGCTGGAGTTTGAGGTCTCAGTCATTGAAAGAATCGAAGAGAAATGGTGTGATAATTTGTATGTTAATTTGACGAAGATGCATGTATATTTATAGTTGTATTTGAGGGGTTCATAAAGGGTAAATTATGTGTTTAGTATCTAAACTATTAATTCTGGTCTGTTTTAGCACCTAAACTTTCAATTTTTTCAAATCATACCAAAAGTTTATATTTTGTTTCATTTTAGTACCACATTCAAAATTTAACGTTATAATTTGTATTTGTTTTTAAATTTTAAGTACTAAAACAGACCAAAACTGATAGTTTAAGTATTAAATGCGTTAAGTTTCTAATAGTGGGGTACTAAAATAAAACAAATAAAATGTAGGTATGATTTTGAAAACAATTAAAAGTTTGAGTATTTAAACGGGCCAAAATTTATAGTTTAGGTACTAAATGTGTAGTTTACCCTAGACTTAAATAACAAATTTGCATTTGTCATTTTGATATTAAATTCTTACTTCGATCAATATGTTAACTAATGGTTAGGGTGAAGTGCACAAATGATCCTTGATAATAGGCTGTTATTTTGTTGAGTCCCTCAACTATTAAAAATTATAAAATAGTCTCTCGATTACAAAGCGATGTTTCATTGAGTCCTCGACTATTAAAAGTTACAAAATAGCCACTTGACTATTCATATGTTCAAAACTCATCATTTTTCAAATAAAAACTAGTGGTCATCTAAACTAGACATTAACATGTTAATTAGGATATGATAAAATTTGATCTTAGAACCGTTTCAATTGTATTTTGTGGATCAATTTTTCGTTTACATTATATCGTTTAGTCAATGCTTGAAATATTATACCGTCGAGCCAATGTTTAAAAGCAATTACATTGCTAGTGTACATCATTAAAATATGACTTTCTTATATCCTAATCAGCAGGTAAATATCCAACTCAGACGATCGTCAATTTTTTAACGGAAAAGGATGAGTTTGGAACATATAAATACTCGGGTGATCATTTCGTAACTTTCAATAGTCAAAGGACTCAATAAAATAATACTATATAGTCGAGGGATCATTTTACAACTTTTAATAGTCAAAGGACTTAACAAAATAATATCATATAGTCTGAGGACCATTTATGTTCGTTACCCTATGTCGACACCATTTTTCTCCCGGGCGGGAAAAAGACCGATACCGACTCGGGGGTTTTTTCTCTTGAAAAGAATTTTGAAATATGAGGAATCACCACCAATCATTTAAGGTGCGTTTGGGACACCATAAAAACAGGGTGATTTTAATAAAACATTTTATTTTTATCAAAATACCAAGTTTTGAGGTCTATAAAACTCCAGAAATCAGGTTCGGGAGTCAGTTACGAGTGGGGAAGGATTAGCACCCCCCACAAGCGCCCAAAAATTGGTACCTAGTTGATTACCCAATATTTAAAATCGGAAATTTTGAGTTCGATCTTTATTTAATTTGAAAATCATTACGGATGCAAAGTTTGAAAAAAGGTATACGTTTATTAAGGTCGATAGCATTCGCCCCCTAGCATTAATGCTGGAGATCAACTATTGTGCATAATAACCGGATATTGCCTTAATTTTAGAAATCATGATGCAGTTTTGAAAAGGATGTCGACCTATTTCGAGAATTACTAGTAAACAACCCCCTGAGCATACTTGCGGGAGATATACCATTAATTCCCTAATAAGTGATCATTGCCTTAGGTTTAAAACAAAATGCAATCAAACAAATTTTTATTCATCCTAATTAAGCTAAGGGTAAATTAAGGTTTTTTCTAGCTTAAAGTGTCAAATTACGAAAATTAAGGAACCTAGGGGATTAAACCTAAATGTAGGCTCTAATATTTACCCTATTTGATTTTTAAATAAGTTATTGAATCGAATAACAGAGATGGTCCCTCGAGTATTTAGGCAAGGGCCAACTCGTATTATTCCCTAAGTTAAAAAAACTAATTTGAAATATAACCTAAAATGGAGGCTCTAATATTAATTTAAATTAATTTTAAGATTCGAATAATTAAATTGGAACCTCGAGCAAAAACGAGGACCAAATTAAAAATTATCCTAATTTAAGGACTAAATATAAAAAACTAATTAACTAAAAAACTAAGAAACGCTAGCTATAATTAACACAATTAACTATATCAAATAAACAAGCACACATCAAATGAATAGAAAAATAAAAAAAATGAGGATTAAATCACATAATTACAAAACTACAAGGATTAAAGGAAATAAATTAAACGTAACAAGGGCTAAATTAAAACAAATCAAAATTTAATGGTTAAATCTAAAAAAATATAAAAAAAAATTTTAGGGATTAAAATGCAAAAAAGGTGAAAACTACAAGGACCTAAAGGCAATTTTTCCTAAAAATGTATAACATGCATAAAAAAGGGTAAATCACAAAAAAGTCCCTACAAGTGACTAACATGAAAAAACACACGTAAAGTGGGGGACTAAATAGTAATTATACCAAAAGTTACAAAGCACAAACAAAAATGGGTAAATTATGAAACATGTCCATTTCATTGACCATTTTATAAAACACGCGAAAACTTGGGGGACTAAACAAAACTTTTCCCTGAAATTTGTTATAAATACCAACTTTTTCTTTTTTTTATATAGTTTTCATTTTTTCTTTTTTTTAAAAAAAATTTAGAGAGAGAGGCTCTCACATCTATCTAGAAATCGACCCGTCGTCGGCTACCATCTTAGTCCCCGTCGACCGTCGGTGACCGTTACTGGTGGTTGTTGGCCACCAAAGTTCACGAGCCTGCTTCTCTCAATGTGATGGTCACTGATTCAGGCTCGATTTTGTGAAACACGACCCCTAACGCCACAAAATAAATCGAGAACCTTTCGACTTCCACCGCCCGGATCTCCACTGTCTGTTGTTGGATCGGGCCCAAACCAAAGTATGTTGGTCCCGGGGACACACCACACCCTCTCACCATTTGGATCCGTGAACCAACCCTCCAAACGCCGGTGACGTGCCTAGTCAAAGGTAACTCTCATTTTCTTTTTCTTTTTTATATTTTCGAAAGCTACAAAATAATATAAAAAAATACCAGCAAAAAATTAACTTTGAAACTTTCATTTTTTTTTCTTGCTTTTTATTGATTTTTTGAATAGAAAAGGAATTGGGGACCAGTTTATAGTGTATTTGCTAGGGTTTTATACCCATTTACATAGAATAAATGAAATGATAAAATCTTGTTTGCTTGCTTGTTGTTTCTGTAGGTAGCGTGGAGTGTTGGAGTGGTATTCCTCTGGTTGGTGTAGAGATCGGCGATAGTTGATGGGGGCTTGGGGCGGTTATAGTAGGGTTAGGTTTAGGTTTAGGTTAGGCTTTAATTTGGGTTCGAGTTGGGTTTGGTTTGGGTCCGGTTCTATTTGGGTTGGTTGGGTATCAGTTAGGTCTTGGGTTCTTCTCATCATGTTCTTTCTACTGGAAATGTTGGTCCCTCGAGTGAGGCGTTTCTGATTCGAAATGTCATGAATTGAGCAAAGGTTGAACAAGTTCTTCTTCATTATGAATTCTCTACTTGAAATGTTGGTCCCTTGAGTGAGGCGTCTCTAATTCGAAATGTCATGAATCGAGCAAAGGAAATGTGAAAACATCCTGCCCGAAGGTCTTCTGGATGGCCCGAAGGACTTATCATCTTTCTCAAAAGACTTATAGATGACCCGAAGGATTTAAGCATCATGCTCAAAAGACTTACTGATGGCCCGAAGGACTTTTATTGATTCGAAATACCATGGATCGAGCAATAGGAAATGTTAATCCCTTAAATCAGGCGTCACTGATTCAAAATGTTATGAATCAAGCAAAGGAAATGTTGGTCCCTCAAGTGAGACAAGGTTTGTTTTAAGAAAAACAATCTTAAGTGACGTAAAATTATTGTTTCAAGTGAAACAATCTCAAGCGAGATGAATCTTGTTTTAAGAAAAACAATCTCAAGTGAGATAGATCTCCTGTTTCGAGTGGAACTATCTCAAGCGAGATGAATCTTGTTTTAAGAAAAACAATCTCAAGTGAGATAAATCTTCTGTTTCGAGTGAAACTATCTCAAGCGAGATGAATATTGTTTTAAGAAAAACAATTTCAAGTGAGATAAAATTTCTGTTTCAAGTAAAACTATCTCAAGCGAGATAAATCTTGTTTTAAGAAAAACAATCTCAAGTGAGATAAAATTTCTGTATTAAATGAGAATGTCTCAGGCGAGACAATTTTTGTTTGAAAATGTTGAATCTAAAGATGATTGCTCCTTCTCATTGAAGACGTCTTGTTATCTTTTAATCTTATTTTTCCCTGAAAGATATGTAAAAAACTTGTATTTTAATGCAACTATCCCGAATGTCCCCATGAGAATAGAAAATGTCCTTGAAAAGGACAGGATTTCAAGATAAATTTTAATGGTACCCTTGTGAGAGGGAAAATTAAAGTTTTTATTGTACATGATGATGGATGTTTGATGCAAAGATGCAAATTCATGTATGTGTAATGAATTTTTTTCCTTTATTAATAGCAGCGAAGAGGTGCTCAAGAAATCTTGATTCTCTTCTTGATCTGTTTGCCTTCAATCTCCTCCCACACCAAGGTGTACCATTGCATTTCTTTGCAAAAAAATGCTTTTCTTGCTCTCTAACATTCAAATTCTTTGGTCCGATTTATGATTATGAATTTCTAAATTTGAGGGACCTCTGTCAATTTCCAATTTGAACTCTCTAGAGGGATTGTCCTATTTGAAAATATTTTCTTTCTTTTTATTTCCAAAATATGGAAAGTTTGTTTAAGAAAAATGTCATTCTTTTAGGCCCACAATTGAAGCAAATTATAGATCGTGAGTTCACTAAATATCAAAAGAATCAACATCTCTTTTAATCTTTCAAAGTTATACTCTTTGACAAGTGTCAAAATTGATGGATTGGTTTTTAGGTTAGCTCCTTAAAGTTTTTAATGTTTCAGTCATCAACCATGTCATTTCTTTTTTATTGGTCCTTGTGAACCTTACAAC